AAACAGAAGAAAAAATAGCAAATAGTATGCTTTGATCTGCATTCAAACTCCATAGTTCTTTTTTTTGGCTATGGATAGCATTATCCATCATGGGGCCTTTGGAGATGTCTTAGATCCTTGCATTGCTGAGAAGGGCTAAGCCTATCAAATTTAGTCATCGCACAACGTGGCTATTACTGTGTGCAACATTCTCCTGTTTCTGCCCACTTCACTCAGCATCAGTCCATACAAGTCTTTCCAGGTTTTTCCGAAGTCTGCCTGCTCATCATTTCTTATAGCACAACAGTATTCCATTACATTCATATACCACAACTTGTTCAGCCATTTCCCAATTGATGGGCATCCTCTCAATTTCCAATTCTTTGCCAATTGTGGTGAATTTTTCACAACTAGTATGTCAAACATTTCAAACAATTTGCTTCCTCCTACCCTCCCCCAACACACATTTATGGAAATAAATGTTTAATCCTATTTAAAAAGATCTGGGATTTCATTTGTGAGATTATTCCCTCTACCATTGCTGATCTCCACCCCTGCACAACTGAGGAGATGCCTTCCTATGGTGCTACAGTCAAAACCATAAAACTCAGTGACCCAACTTTTGCTGACGAATTTTCTTGCACTTTTAGGCTTGCCCTCTGACAACAATCTGTCACCTGGTCCATAAATTCTTTTTTTTTCCTCCTGTGTAGAATCTGTCAAGCCCTGAAATTTGTAAAAGGCAGCTACACTGAAAAATTAATTTTCAATCAGTTGTCACTCAGAAATTTTAAAAAATCAATACTAGGGGGCAATTAGATGGCACAGTGGATAGAGCACTGGCCCTGAATTCAGGAAGACCTGAATTCAAATCTGACCTCAGACACTTGACACTAGCTGTGTCACCCTGGGCAAATCACTTCACTCCACTGCCTCAAAAAAAAAAATCAATACTAAATATATTCTCCAATGCTACATGTGAGTATGTTCTTTGGCTTCAATTTACTTAAAAAAACATGGACTGTGCATCGGTCCAAGGTTTCCAGGAATTGCAAAAACAGAACAATGAATTTTTGCAGCAATTAGAATAGGTCAGAAACTTTCCCCACATCTAAAATACTTTAGATGTGGATAAGAGGGATAAGTTAAGGAAATTCTTGCCAAGATTAGGGAGAAAAACTGACATGATATTCCCAGAGTAAATATAATACATATTTGTATGTATACACACCTATATGTGTATATATGAGCACATTAATTGCTAAGTGTGGCTTATATAAATGTATAAGCCATGTAAGTGGTAAAGCTTTTTTTGATTTTGTTTTGAGGATACATTGAGCCCAAAACTTTCCAAATACAAATTCATATCTAAACTTGCCCTTAATACAGTTATATTTAAATTCCAGGGCCCCCAGCATTATTTTCCAAAGTAAGGCCCTTTCAATCCATTACCTCTCACCTGAGACCAGTCAACCTCCTGAGTATTAATCAATAAACTGTTCTTTCCCTTAACCATGCCTGCATTATGAGATGCTTGAATTCTTAAGACCTTAAATGGTTGGTAGTTTCGATTTTCCATGGCAAGACTTATGAAGAGAGAAGTTGGACAGTAAAAGGTGTCTGAAGGGATGGGGTTTTCAGATTTAATTCTCATAAGGTACCAAATTTCCCTTTTCACCCCCTTGTAGGTTAAAATCCTTTTCAATTTTCAAGACCCAATTAAGACACCACTGCCTTCCCTCGGATCAGTCTTTAGCATTTATCTCCTTTATATTTGGCTATTTGTGTATTCTCTCCCAACTAAACTGTCAAACCTAAGAAATCAAAAGCTGTCATATGTATTCCATTCAATAAGAATTTAAGTGTCCACTATGTGCCAGGCCCTGGGTTATATGCTAGATATAACAAAAATTTTAACAATCCATGCCCTCATAAAATTTAAAATTCTATAGGGAAAAATAGCCTACTCCAGAAAAAATAGATACAAAGTAACAAAATATAAGATGAATACAAAGTAACATTTTAGTTGTGCTCAGAGAATCAAAAAGGCCTCTTGCAGGAGGTAACACTTGAGATCACCCTTGATGAAAGCCAAGGATTCTAAAATACAGAAGGAGAATTTCAGGTATGGGACAGCCTGAAAAGCCTGAAGATGGGAAACGAAATGCGTAGACAGCATTAAGTAGGCTGGAGCAGAGTATTCAAGGGGCAATAAGTTATAATCAACCCAGAAAGATAGTCAGGAACTATAGTATGAAGAGCTTTAAATGCCAAATAGGAGTTTGTAGTTTACCTTAAAGATGGTAGCTGAAGCTTCTTGAGCAGGAGAGCAATATGGCCAGAACTCTGTTGAATATTACTTTGAAAACTCTATAGAGGATGGATTGGAGAATCTAGATGACGAATGGACCACAGGCTATTCCAACAGAAAGGTGAGGGTTTAAAATAAGATGGTTTGGGCATGAGTAGAAAAGATCGAAAAATCTGTACCATGTACTCAGTTTACTCCCTGGCACACAATAAGCATTTAATATATGTTCTTTGAAATAAAAGTTTCACCATGACCAAAGGGCAATAAAACTGCATATCCTTTGACCCAACAATATCACTTTTAGGTACATATCCCAAAGAGATCATAAAAATGGGAAAAGAACCCACATGTACAAAAATACTTATAGCAGCTTTTTGTGGTGGCCTAAGAATTGGAAATCGAAGGGATGCCCATCAATTGGGGAATGGTTGAACAAGTTGTGGTATATGAATGTAATGGAATACTGTGGTATATGAAATGAGCAGGCAGACCAGAAAAACCTGGAAAAATTTGTATGAATTGATACTGAGTGAAGTGAGCAGAACCAAGAGAATGTCGTACACAATAACAGCCAACATTGTGCTAGGATTGACTTTGATGGATTTAATTCCTCTCAGATACGCAACTCCAGAAGACTTACGATGGAAAATCTTATCCACATCCAGAGAAAGACCTTTGGAGCCTGAATGTAGATGAAAGCATACTATTTGCTTTTCTCTTTTGTTGCTTTGTTTAGTTTCTTCCTTCTCATGGTTCTTCCCATTAGTTCTAATTCTTATTTACATCATGACTAACGTGAAAACATGTTTAATATGAATGTTTAAGTAGAGCCTATGTCAGATTGCATGCTGTCTTGCGGAAGGGGAGAAAATTTAAAACTCAAAATCTTATGGAAGTGAATGTTGAAAACTAAGAGTTATAAAAAAAAAAAAGAAAAAAGTTTCACCCTGAAACTTTCATAACACAAGAGCACCCATCTGACAGAAAAGATTCTAGAACATATCAGAATTCTAAGAGGTAGCTCCAGGTTGATGAAGCTACATGTGGAAGTGCTTTTTTTCTGAAACTATGGTAAAGCCATACTCATTTCCTCTAACAGCTGCTGGTGCCTCAATCCTAAACTGGGATTGCTACTTTGCAATGTCTTAAAATTAGGTAGTGTTTCAATTAATGGAAAAACCACAATGAACACAAATAGCAGAGGCTAAAAACTTCAAATTAAGTCAGCAGGGGAAAAAGGACAACACTGAATTAAGATTCATTTTAATTTCTGAAAACACTGATGTTTAATTAATTTTAATTAAACCATCCCACTACAAGTAACATTTCTTCTACCACATTAAATTGTCAATGTTTTATAACTAATCCCTAGTTAAGCTGAAACATCAAAAACAATAAACATCCAATCAAAAAGTAATGACTGACACCTAGTCACTAGTAAAATACAAAACAGCTTTCATAGTTCACAAATGTTTTAACAGCAATATAAGTGATTCAAGTAGAGTGCTATTTTAAAGTTATTTCAACAATAAGTATGGGTGCATGTTGTACTTTATAATTGTTTGCTTCAAATCTTTACTTTGTAAAATCACTAACATTTATCACTAGACAATAAATTATGGGGTTGCTGATTAAATTGGCATTTAAATATTAAAACAGGGAAAATAAAAGCAATAATCCCATGAACTGCTTTGTTTTGTCAAAATAAGTCCTTTACAAAGTAATCTAAAACAATTTAAGTGAGTTATCCACTCATCCTCCATTAGTATTTACATTTTTAAAACAGTAGTTTTCCTCAAGGGATATCATTGTTTATAAGCCTGAACTTCTGTTTTTAACAATCTTAGAATGTCTACTCCTGAACATTTTGATCTTTAAGGCACTACACAATGAAGTTCCCTTTAAAAAAAAAAATTAACAGAAGTGATTTAGGGATGGCTAAGATCTCTTTTAAATTCTCTTTCCTACTTTGGTTTATAAAGTAGAGGTAATCTGTTATTTAAGGGCCTAAAGCAAATTACATTCAAGGACATTTTCCTAAAATCCAATGTTTGTAATAGTATTTCTTTAAAAAAAAAAAAAAAAGAAATTATGTCAAAAAATTCAGCTGTTTATTTAGAAAGTGGAAAAGTACATGGGATTAAAAGGGGAAGATTTAAAGAAAATTTTAACCTATAAACCTTCCAAATCCTTTTTCAAGTTAGAAGTATTAGTAAGACTGGCATTAACATTGTAATTACACAATTACAGCAGAGTTTACACATGCTTAACATACATAATTACATTTAAAATAAGTTAAATAACTTTGAAAATATATTCTATAATTTAATTGGCCTTTAAATGTTTTCCCTTTGGGAAACATCAGCTGAACTTTGGCTTTTTCTATCCAAGTGGTTAATTCTGACTATTTCCCCCCCCCCCCACTTCAATGAGTTACTTTAAAAACTGGGGTTGTTGCAATATTCAAAGTTTTGTTTTTCTGAAGTGGAATCCAACCACCTTTGCATATCTATTGTTGTTCAGAGTTAAGTGAAGGGAAAGGACTGGGTACTTCACTATAAATTTTAGATCATAAATTGCAAATATGAACAGAAAGAAATCAAAGTTTAAAAAATAGTTCAGAACTATAGCTCTCAAATTTCCATGTTTTTCTGTTTCACTATAGATGGTGGTGTTTATATTCAAAATTATTTGAACCTTCTTTTACTCCTTAAACTTTGATTTCTTTCTGTTCATATTTGCAATTTATGATCTAAAATTTATAGTGAAGTACCCAGTCCTTTAAAATTCAAAAACCCTTAGAATTCAGGGCATGAAAATAAATATAAAATGGAAAACAGTGCAATAATGACCCTAATCAGAAACTTCTTTTTAATAAATAATCCCAAATAAAATGAAGTTTCACAAAATCTCATCTTTAACAAACAAAATATATTATGCTACACATGTCAAAACACAAATTCTGTCATTTCTTCCTTTCAGGGCATTAGACTGCCAAAGCCTCATACAACACACATTTTATTTCTCCATGGCATCTAGGTCTAATAGCAGTTAATTGGAAGTCAGAAGTATTATACAGAATCTGTAGCCACTAGCATGACCTCTATTCTCACCTGCAGCAAATGACTTGGCGCTAAGCCAGTCAGTTTTTACTTATAAACATCTATTTCCATCACAAAAAAACTTAAGATCCTGTTATTCTCTCTGCTTTTACTGTAGTGTGTTTCATGAAACTTTTGTATAGTTCAACATTAAAAATCTTGATTTTAAAAAGAACCTTTTTGGTACTGCTGCATGACGGGTTTAATGTAACATTAAGCATAAAATGGCAACTACACTGTATTGTATAAACTAATGCACAACTATCGGAAAATTCTTAATCTAAGCAAATACAAGCCTGCAGCAATGATAAAGACTAGTGGAATACAAGAGAAAAAATAAACAAGTAAATAAAATGACTTTTGATCAGTGGCCGTTCATTACTTGGCTTTCTGGCATATGGAAGAAATTATCTTCTTTGAGTTTCAAATGTTCGGGTAAATCCAGTTGTCGCTTAGCTTCTTCAATATCATCCTGAATTGCTGAAATAAGGGCATCTGTGAGGGCAGGAGATAAAGTGAAGAATGTAAACCATACAACACTTGAAATAATCTATACAAATTCATCACAGAATGAAAAATTTGTGAAGAAATGACCATGATTTGTTATAAATTTACATTCCTTGATTTGTCAATAAAATTTAACTTACTTTAAAAACAAATTTTGAGATGAGATTCCCCTTGATCCTACTGCTACCATCCCAACACAAGCCCTAATTACGCCATGCCTGGATTAATGAATATCTTTCATATAGTGAAAAAAGATTCAGGAAGGATCTGGAATCAAAACCTGGGGCATCAGTTCCAACTCCACAACTTACTAATAACATGGACTTGGGAAAATCATTTAACCTCTAAAAGGCTGTTTCCCCATCTATAAAATGGGGACAACAATACTTATAGTATTTATCTCTTAGAATTCCTTGTGAGGATTAAATATATAATGCTAGTATAACACTCTGAAACCACAAAACAAATGTTAGCCTTGTGTAGAAAAAGACTATTGGCATCACTTTATATGCCATCATTGAGCTCTCCCCCATAAGGTATATATGTATATATATACATATCAAACAGCCAATTTTCTTCTTCAGCATCAACTGTGTCTCAGGTAAAAAGGGCAAGTAGCCACTGGAGTAGGTCTTTTGTTGTGTAATTAAATTATGTAAACCATGACATGGTTATTCTCTTGATGTACCAAATATTGTCAAAGTATTAACTAATAGGCATTAAATTATTTCTAACTTGTTATTTTATTAAAAGAAATCTAAGAGTAAGATATCATTACCTCACTCTTATGAAGGAATTCCTCTTATGAGGAATAAAATGAAATTAATATTTTAAGAAAAATTTACCAATTGAACTAAAGTTTTTCTCTGGTCTGATGTAGCCAGTGATGACTATACTAAGGATTTCCCCATAGAAGTCCTCTTCGAAGGTATGTATAATGTGAGTTTCCTATAAAGTTAAAAAAAAAAAAAAGAGATCATTTATCTTAAAAGGGCAATAGAATCTGTACTTTGTGAACATAATTTTTTAAATTAAATTGATTAAAAATTGATTCTCTTCCTCCCACTCCATAACACTAAAAGAAAAAAAGAAAACCCTAGAAACAAGTATGTATAGTAAAAAAAAAAATCCTGCTTTGGCCATGTCCAAAAATTGTCTCATTCTGTACCATGAGTCCCTAACTTCTTTGTCAGGAGATTGGTAGGTACACTTTAACATTGGTCCCATGAAATGATGGGAGGCATTTGCACTGATCAGTTGTTAAGCCTTTCAAAGTTGTTTGGGTTTTACATTCTTATGGTACAAAGTATTATGGCATAAAAATATTCCACTGCATTCATTTACTAAAATTTGTTCAACCATTCCCCTAACTTATAGGCACCCTCTTAAATTTCCAATTTTTTTTGTTACTACAAAAAAGTAATCTTTGATTTCTTTGGGGTATAGATTTTGAAGCAGTATTACTGTCATATGCACAGAACTTCATTTTGGGGGCACAGTTCCAAATTGCTTTCCAGAATGGCTGTATCAATTCACAGCTCTACCAAAATTAATGTGTTTTCCTGCAGCCCCTCCAGTATACCATCTTCCTTTTTTGTCAACTTTGCCAAACTGATGAGTGCAAGGTAAAGCTTCAGTTACAATAATCTGAATCTAATTAATGGTGATTTGGGGTATTTTTTTGATGCAAGTTATTGATAGCTTGAATTTCATTCTTTAAAAACTGCAAAGTATCTCTAACTGTATGAACCCTATAATAAATGTCTTCTGGGGAAAAACGAAAAATACTTAAATTTCCCTCCCAAGCCTTCTATATTATTCTCAGTAAAATACTTAGTTCCTTAACAATATCAGAAACATGAAACCTTAGGAAAATTAGAGATGAATAAGGAAACTGGTTTTCCTCCTTTTTTGTATGCAAACAAGATCTTCAGAAATATGCAGTGTAATAAAGTGAAAATAAAATTCTTACCACAGATTTTTTAGTATTCTTGTAGTATGGGTTCCATCCTATGCTTAAAACCATCTTATGGACATCTCCATTTCCAACACAGGCCCAACCATAGTAAATTCCAGTAGATAAATCACATGGAAGATTATCTACTACTTGCTCAGGAAAGTTAGCTGAAAAATAAAACCATGATTTGAATGTTAATTTGAGAAGAGTTCTACATTAAAATATTCATACCAGCCTTGCAAATACAAAGAAAAAGACCGCCAACCAATATTGATGTGATTGCACAGTGCCTGGCACATAGTAGGCACTGTCAATGCTCATTCCCTCCCCTCTTCTTCCCTTGGATTGTTAATTATCACAGATAGATGCCAAGTAATTCCTACAAAGGTCAGAGAGGCAGACTGTTTCTGTTATTAGAGGGATCAACAGAACTGATCCACTCCACCACCTGTTTTTGATATGGACAGTCTTTCTCTGAAGCCGTTATGTCTTTCCAAACACAAAAGCAACAGTGCTCAGTACTTTTCCATTTCTCTTTGGCCCTGGTAAAGATGTGCTGCATCTTCCCCAGCCATGAATTTACTTCTTTTAGAAATACAGTTTCCAATTATCTGAGTTGTCATTGCTAGTAGATCTTAAAAGTAGATATTAGGGAATTTCTAGAAAGGAAGGAGTTAGCTCCCCTTCTAAATCATTGCTAGTCTTCCCCCACTTCCCAAATCTCAGGGTTTCTCCTAACTTGATGTGTCAGTTATCCAAACCTGAGTTGGTGGGTATTCAACCTCACCCCCCAGTTATATTAACAGTCTAAAACAGGTCCTCTTAGCTTTATTCTACTAAATTCTTTAGTATAATCTTTCAGAGAAGGCTAACTTTCATTTATATTATTGCTATGACACTAACTACAATGCTCTCTTTCATTAAAGCTGTGTTTTCAGTAACTAATCAATAATGGAATTTGAGCTATCAGGATGTTAAGACTATTCCATCTATCAAGATTTCTAGCTGTCACAGAAAGTTTATGTTCCATGTATAACAATGTCGCTTCTTCCAGCTATCCTTAGTTCCCCCCAAATCCTGTTCCAACTCAAGCCAATTTTCTGTGGCCAACCTAGCGATGAACCTGTCCAACCTTAGAGAAGCCAGGGTCACTTTTACAACGTGATGAATGTAAGTTATTTGATAGCCAGGCCTTTATATTTTTATCTTTGTATACCCAGTACCTCAAACACCCTTAATAAATATTTAATAAGAAAGGACTTTAGTGGACTGCAAAGATTACCATTAAAATTATGCTTTACTTAATGATTAAGTTAATCATGGAAGAGTCATGCATGAAAGATTTAGAGGCATTCTGGGTTGTTAAAGTTGTAGCTGAATGCACCACGTGTAATGAATTCCTTCAACAATAAATTATTGTCTAATTGTGGAAGTTTTGATATTTAAAAATGAGTTTCAGTTTATGTTTTGACTATTCTCTATGACTTCTCATTTGTATATCAAGCTAAAAACTACTAAAAATTCTGTGAAGCTTATTGTGTTGTGAGGAAATTACTTTCACTAGTGTGTTGTTTTTTCCTTGTTTCATAAATATTAACGAACAAGATATATTCCTGTATTAACTGGATCTCTAGTCATTAATGTTTATATTCATAATAAATGTGTTGTTTCATTTGATGCGAAACTTCAAGTGGTAATTTTGGTCCCACGGAAGAAATAAATTCTACCTGGACTTAGGTATTTGACTTCAAAAGTTATATTTACTAAGCCTACAGCTTCATAGTTAGCAGTATGCAATTTAGTGATTTAAAGTTACATGACTTTTAAATTACTCTATTAAGCAGGTCAAAGGTGATTTCCAGTAAACCGTGAAAGTTGTGAGTTCTTATTAATCCTCAGGCATAGTGTAACTAAATCAACTCTTTTACAGACCAGAATTTCTTGCAGTTCAGGATTTAAATGCCGTAAGGTAAACTGGTAGAGTAGGTAACCTACCATGAGGGTTACCTTGCTATTTATTGCTCCTCTTAGAAAACAAATAACTAGGAGGGAGTGGAAGAGGAGAAACAGGGAGGTACCACGGCTATTCTACTCAAAATAGTCCAGGCAGGGGAGCAGGGAAGTAAGTTGTGGGTCCTCCACCATGCCCTATTAAAAATACAGCAACTAGTTGATTAACAGTATGTCTTTACCTGTGGGTATTTATCTTTTCTCCCTTCCCTTTTCTCTAATGACTCACTTTCCTTGAGAAACAGAAAAACCTAAGGATAGAACATTCCGTTTCAAGTCTGAAGACTTGGGTTCACACAGTGCTACAACTTATTAGTTGTGTAACCATGGCCACATCACCTAACTTCTCAGTTTCCTCATCAGTAAAACGCGAATAAATTTCCTTCCTCACTGGGTTGTGATGAGAATCTAAGGAGACAATGCATGTAAAGTGCTCTGAAGATCTTCAAGGGCTCTATGAAGGTCAGTTATTATTCCTGCTCCTGTCTAAAGTTGGCCATAATATCGAATTTAAATATTTAAAATACTGTTATAATTACTCAATATTTCTGAATGGTCTCAATGACATACTATTAAGTTAATGGTCCTTAACATAATGGGATTTTGAAAAACCAGACCCATAATCCAAGAAAGGAAGCAAAAATTGGTTAATTTTAAGATGACCTCGGGGCCATCGAGATTTTCAACTACTGCTCACCAAGATGAAGCTAATCTTCACCCTACAAGTGTGCAGGGTATTTGTGAAGGTGTGTGTTTGTATGTGTGTGTGGGAGGGTGGGGAAGTTACAAAGACCAAAGGTTATCTCAAATAGAGATATTTGCTTAGAGGCGAGCCCAACCCGTTCATCAGATCCATTACGGCCTCCCGTAAAGAGTAACCGGGTAAAGCTCCCCCAAAAACCTGGTAGAAAGTGACAGCAGCGCGCTTGCCTCCCACAGGCAGGGCCAGGCTTTAACCTATTCGCCCAAGCAAGCACGGGATAGGCTCGGTCGGTTTCTAAGGCCCTTCCTCCGGGGAAGCGCCCGGTTTCCGTGACTCCGCGGTCAGTGAGTCAGGTCCAGCCCGGGCCACGGCTGGGGGCGGGGGAGGCTCGGCCGCCGATTCCTGATGCTCCCGGGCTCAGGTTCCCTGTCAGAGCGACAGGGTGAGGCGAGAGAAGGGGAGAGGGCGGACCAGTCCGGCCGGTCGGGGGCTGGGCTCTCGGTAACCGGGAGATGCGCTAGCGCGGGGAGGCTTCCCGAAGGCGGGGGGGGGGCCCCCAGCCGTCCCCGCCCCCCCCCCCCCCGCCCGGTTCCATCACAAGCGCTTACCTGTGGGGATGCCAAGCTGCTTGGAGCCCCGTCCGAAGCCCCTCACCACTTTACCCCGGCAGAAATAAGGCAGGTGCTTCATCACGCCGCCGGCTCTGGGCTCGGCAGACGGCCCGGGCGAAGAGTCCGGAGGAGCCGCCGTGGAACTCAGGGCAACGGTCCCCCCGGGCCCGCCGGGAGTGAGGGGAGGGGGGAAGGCGGAGAGGGAGGGCGGGAGAACCCTACAGGCGCGAGACGTGCGCGTGAGCAGGCGTGCGTCGGCGGCGCGAGCCTCGCGGCCAGCGACCCCCACCCGAACGCTGCAGGCGAAGGGCGCGCGACAGAACCTCCGCGCGCCACTGACCCAACACAAGCCGCAAGCGCTCCCCGAAGCCGGCTGAAGCGGAAATCTATGAAGGAGGAGGGCGGAGAAGAAACGAAGGGCGGGGAGGGGAGGGAGGAAGAGCCAAAAGGCGCGTTCCCATTGGGCAGGCGGCATGGCCGCCAGTTTCTCCAGCCCGGTCTCCACTCGCTCTTTTTTTCTTTACACAATACTCTCCTCCGCCTCTCCCCCCCCCGCCTTCTTTTCTAATGGACTAGCCCAGCCCGGGTCGGCGCCTGCGCAAAGGCACGTCCTCGCGCTCCTGGGGGTCCGTCAGTTACGAAGCAGAAAAAGAAGTAACTGGTTCTAGAACCGTCGTTCTCGATTTCGTAGATGTTTGCCGGTGACTTGTGAGGGCCGATATTCAAATTCAGGCTTTGGAAAAACTGGTCCGAATGGTCAGTTAACTTAGCATTGCCTCCAGATGCGGATGCTCTCCCTACAGTGTTGGCCGATCGTGATCTTTGACCGGAGCTGATCCCCCGTGCGGACACCAGGAAATCCTTACCTCACCCCCTCACCCTGCGGGGCTCTAGGGCCAGGCCGAAGGGTCACTGGAGGTCAGCCAGCCCATCAGTACGGCTTCAGATCACTCCAGGCAGGCCGGAGTCTGGCAAAGGTAGTGAGTGTCACGTGGGGGCGGAAGATTGGATTTGAACTGGAGCTGGTCCAATTTTTGGAAAATATGTGAGGTTTGAGTTAGAACAGCTACCGGCAGGCATTTGTGGGGCTCCCAGAATGTAGCCAAAACAGAAAAGCAGCCCTTAGTAAAGAGCATTGTGGTAGATGTTAGAGAAGGTTAAAAAGAAAAGTTTAGCCAACATGCAGTCACTGGCATAAACAAATTCACAGGCTACTGGAGGGAAAAATAACCAAGAGAGCTAAGATGCAAAATTTTAGGTGAGTGCATTAGAGAACTACATGAAGTAACTCTGAATTCGACTCACCTCCATCCGAGCACACTGAAACAACACAACAAAAGGGAACAACTGGAGAGCAAAGTCAAAGACGC